ATAGAGACTTCTCTTGTGCCATCAGGTCAATCATCATCCTCTATGCTGGTTCCAAATCCAATTTCGACTGACTCTACAAGTAATGCACCTCAATCTATCATTCCTTCAGTAGATGATATTCCTTCTGTAGATGATAGTCCAGTTGTTGATGATTCAAGTCTTCCTATTGCTCTTAGGAAGGGGGGTTAAGGCATGTACTCAACACCCCATTTCTAAATGTGTCATATGATTAATTATCTCCTATATATTGTGCTTTTGTCTCGTCTTTGTCTTCTGTGTGTATCCCACAAGGTTGGAAAAAAAACTATCCATAATCCTAAGTGGAAAGCGGTTATGGTAGAAGAGATGAAGACTTTCAACAAGAATAACAAGAATAATGCTTGGGAGTTGGTTCCTCTACCTAATGGGAAAAAACAAAAAAAAGAACCAGTGGGGTGTAAATGGGAGTTCACAATTGAGCAGAAAGGAGATGGGACAATTGAACAGTACAAAGCAAGATTAGTGGCCAAGGAAGACATGGAATTGGATATCAAGAAACATTTGCTCCTATAGCAAAGATGAATTCCATTCAAGCCCTTCTTTCATGTGTTACTAATTTGGGTGGGTCTTTACAACTAGATGTGAAGAATGCATTTCTCTATGGTAATTTGGAGAAGGAAGTATATATGGATGTGCCACCAAGATTCTGAAATAGTTAAGACAATTGCCCTAAGCCTAGTTTGACAGATTTTTGAAAGCTATGTTAAGATTTGGATATAAGCAAAGCAATGCCGATCACACCATGTTTGTCAAACATAATGCAAACAAAGTAACTATATTTATTGTATATGTGGATGACATAGTTGTAACAGGGAATGATAAGGAAGAAGTGACATATCTTAAGATTCAGTTGGCCAAGGAGTTTGAGATCAAATATCTTAATCCATTGAGGTACTTTTTTGGGATTGAAGTTGTCAGATCTGATAAAGGCATCTTTATTTCTCAAATGAAGTACATTCTTGATCTTCTTGAGGAAACTAGCATGTTGGGCTGTAGACTTGCTGATTCGCCTATTGAAGCCAATTATCATCTTTACAATGGTATTGGTAAGCTTGTGGAGAAGGAAAGATACCAGAGACTTGTGGGAAGGCTTATATATCTATCTCACACTTGGCCAGATCTTGCCTATGTAGTTGGGGTCGTAAGTCAGTTTATGCATGATCCTTATACAACACATTTGGATGTTGTATATCGCATTTTGAGGTATTTTAAATTAGCTTCGGGAAAAGGAATTTTGTTCTCTAATCATGGCCACTTAAGGTTGGAGACATTTACAGATGCAAATCAGGCAAGTTCTGTGGATGACTGACGGTCTACATCTAGTTATCGCGGCTTTGTGGGGGAAATTTGGTTACCTGGGGTAGCAAGAAACAAGCAGTGGTATCCAGGTCTAGTGCAGAGGCAGAATATTGAGCTCTGCGACCGCGCTAGATAGTTCTGACCATTGAATAGAGAGGCAGTGATTTTAAGGCTAGGGTTGGGGTTATCAGTCATAGTATAGTAGGTATAATGCAACTTTCACTCCTGGGTGTCTAAGAAGTAGTGGACACATTGGTGAAATCTGCCATGGAGATGCTTCTATACAACCCACAAAAAACTAGGACCAATCACAAACCCGGAAGATGATGGAGGGATACAAGCACAATAACCATGAAGAATATTAAATAATTAAAAATGCATAATTTTACTTCTTTTTTTTTTTAAATATTTTTTTTTTTTTTTTACACGTAATACATTAATAGAATAGAGACAAGAAGAGACCAGAACCAGAGACAACACTGAAGAACCCTTATGCCATGCCCAACAACCACTGACGACCCTTGAACAGACAATCGAACGACACCCAACCAGCAAGGAGGCTGGGCGTCATGAGGAAGACCCTCAACAGGGCCAGGAGGAGCCTGTCGGGGGAAAGAGAAGAAGGAAAAAAGGCTAGCAACGCTGGCGGGAAGATGAAGAGAGGCTGTCAGTGCTGGTGCTGTGGTGTAGTGGGGCTGTCGCCTCTGGTGGAGTGGTGTAGGAGGGTTGCCGGCACTGGTGGGGTGATGTAGAGAGGCTGTCGACTAGTCTAGGTGAGTTACAGGGTTGTTTCGGGTGCTGGGGAGGCAAATACGAATAGTAGTGTCGGCTGGAGTTGGGGCATGGCTCTGATACTATGTATGTTTAGAGAAGAGAAAGAGATGGGGATTGAGTTAGACCTCATCCCCTTTTATATTGATAATTATAAGTAATTATAGGAGTGCCATAAGACATAATTTATGGATCAGCCCATTTCGCCAATCAAGTAAAATAAAAATAAAATAGAATACAACCAATATTAAATATTATTTCCTATTCCAACACGAAGGTGGCATGCAATTAGAAGGCAAGCAATGCTCCTTGAGCTTTTTCCTCATCTTCCTCAACTCTTTAACCTTTCCTTGGCCTACCAATTTGTAGTTGATTCCACGAAGCAGAGGCACGACTTTTGAGGCTTTGAGAAACCAATTTTGCCTTTCTCACTTCTAGCACATCATAACATTCCAAATGACTCTCAATTGTATTCAACCGCTTTTTGAACACATCCAAAATGTAGCTTCCATGGAATTCGGGAAGCTCGGAATCCTTTATGGTGTCATTCCACGTAGAACCAAACCCATGTGAACATGCTTTACACCTATGTAGAGCATCAAAGGAATCATCAAGTTGATAATCCTTGGAACCATTACTACCTTCAATAGGATGTAGGAGGTAGGAGACGTTGCACCGTCTCCGTTAAAGTGGCAATTTGCCTTCTCATCTCAGTTATTTCATCTCTTTGATATGGAACCCCATTAACCTCCGCATCATCACCCAAATCCGAGACATAAGCCTTACCACGACCACCCCGACCACCTTGCCCCCGATTAGCGATTTCAGTTTATAAACACAAACATAAAAACTTCACAGATTGCAGCAACCCAATTGAAAGTGATTCTCAACAGCGTATCAAAGAGCACAAGCAATTGTTATCAAAGAACAAAAACACCAAATGCCCAAATTACAAAATCAAGACCTAATTCAAAATGTAAAAAAACCAGTTCAGAATTTCAGAATGTGCAGAAACTGAAGGCAAAGCACCATATAGCAAAATCAAAGATAAGACTCAAAACAGCATTCACAAATCATGAACAAGAGAGTGAAAGATCAAAACCCACCCAGATCAGAGTCGCAGACCAAAAATCAATACCAAAACACAACATTCTGAATCTGTTCCACTCCGGGTCACAAATTGATTTCAAAGTTTCGCAGAAAGCAGCAAAACTGGTTCGATCGTGGGTCGCAGATGACTTCAAAGTCAGATCAAGAAGTCCAGGTTCAAGCTCAAAGGTCGCGACCTTCAAGCCAGATGCAAACTAAAATCACAAGTAGAGTTTGAACTCGAAATCCAGAGTTCCTGCAAACTCGACTCAAAAACTTGAATCAAAAGTTAGGTCGCAATCGCGATGAACTCCAACAATTTCGAATGTGCAATGGGTCTTCAAATCGCGATGGGTCCACGAAGCTTGGATCATCCTTCGCAGAGTCTGGGTTCGTCAGATTCAAGGAACCAGATTCAAGCTTCAAGGTGACTTCAAACCAGTCTTGCGAAGACGACCAGAAGTCTCCTTCGATCAGGGCATGCGAAGAGTCGGAACCAGTTCCAATGGATACTCGGGCGCATGATGCTCAAATTAGCTATGAACTAGAATTGCAATATGCACCCAGGTCCAATATCGATTCACAAGAACAACCCCAAATATGATTTCGATTGCGAAATCAAATCATAGGGCCAAATCGCTAGACCCACAAAGTCGAAGCTTGATTTGTGAAGTTGAAACTTGATCTCCGAATTTGAAGTCGACCCACGAAGTCAAATCAAGAACCCAGATTGTCCTGCGAACTAGAATCAAGGAGAGGAAACTTCGTGAATCAAGAGGAAGCTTCGTAAACCAAGGAGAGTCAATATTGAATCTGAGAGTCGATCTTGAATCTCTAAAGCCAACTTTCAACAACAACGAAGGCTCCAAAGGTATATGCGTTTCATGGTATTGAATTAGGTGATGAATCAATCAGAATATGAGATATTAAGATCCAAATCTGATGCTCTGATACCAAAATGATGGAACCAAATCAAGAAAGAGATTTCATTAGAGAGAAAAAATCCCAAAATGAGGACAAGAGCTCTCAAGCTCAGAAATATTCAATGTCAATATATCATATACTGAATACTAGAGGGGCCTAACTACCTATTTATAGGATAAAGACCCAACTAAATCTAACTAACTGTTATGGTGCTAAACATAACCACCATACTAGTTTTAACTACATCAGATCAAAACCTCATTTCACAAAACAGCCACAGCCTTAAATATCAATATTCCAAAGCTAACCTAAAATTATTACATAAAGCCATATATATAGGCAACATAGGACACCTCAATAAATTTTAAATTAAATTTTAAAACATATAGCTATAAAATTACAAAATTTTAAATTTGAATCCTTTATCCAACGCCTTTCCGTTCCCCATCACCAGGGGGTCATGTTCAGAGTAGGAACTCGACTTTCTTGCACAAAACATAGTTTCTGATAATTTTCTCTTCACATTTCTTTTTTTTTATTTTTCAAAACTGGTGTGGTGGACTGAACCTTAGAGGCAAACATCCGACCTCAAAAAATTTCTATGAATGTCTAAGCCTTTATCCTTCAAATGTACGAGGATAGAAACACATTCAAACAATACCTAACATTCATCAGAGGGATAAAATTCATTCTATTATATTCTTGAAAGACTTGGGTAAGATTCCTAAAGCAATGACACATTGAGTTTGAAAACTACAGGCCGAACTATAGCTTCAGTTCATAATCCACATTATCATTCAACCAAAGATCAAGGTGCTGTTGAACTATGAAAATCAATTAATTGATACATACCAAGGAACTCTTTCTAATAGTAATACCTTCCATTTACAATCTGCTGGTCTGCACCAGTTGCTGGTGGATGGTTGGGGCTGCCACCATTATCCAACAGTCTAGCCTCTAGGCTTGAATCAGAACTTACAGTGGAAACTGTTTGACTTCGACCAGAACCAAGTGTTCTTCCTCTCCCAGGAAACATGTTACTGTCTTCTGCTGACTGCACATAGCAATTAAGATTTGTAGAAGCATAATAAGAGACACATAAATTTAAAACGTCTTATGATAGTTAAAGCAAATGTTTGAAGATACAGGATTCATCATGCTCAAGTAATGTAAGAGTTGAATTTCATTAATCTATAAAAATGAAGAGCATGAGATTGATCTTTGGACCACCATCTAGTTTGACGTGAAGTACAATATACACTAGAACTCTAGAACACTAGCAGATTATATCTTGGGTAAATTACAATGACCTCCCTTGAGGTTTGGAAAAAATACAGCAAGCCTCACAGTTTTGACATAATTACACTGATCTCCCTTTTACTAAGATTAAAGAGACCAAAACTAATGCAAATGGAATGAAGACATAGAGATAACCAAGGTAAAATATACATTTCATTGTAAAAGAGATGACAATATCATTTTTTCATCCATACGACTAATGAATTAATGATAAAAATGGGGCTAAGTGTTATGTGAATAAAAATCTCAAGGGAACCCAATGTAATTATGCCAAACTTGTAGGGCTTACTATATTTTCTCCAAATCTTTAAGAGAGGTCAGTGTAATTTACCCTTATATCTTCAACCAACTAAAATTTGTATACTAGTATTTTAATAATGTCATTTCAAATAAGAAATGATAGGTAAACAGAACAGGGGAACCATCAAATCACAACGTTGACAATCACCTATGTGCATAGCTTCTTGAATCATGTGCATACAAAACATACAAAAGACACATTCACATGTCAGTTGTTACTAAAAAATTTTAGAAGGTTAAGTCAACTAAGAAGCACAAACACGGACATGTGAACAACATGAACACCCTAATACATAAATTTCAGCAAAATGTAAGACATGATGCATGGGGGGGTATACACAAATATATAGTTTTACATATTTATTATATAACGTGTAAAGATAAACAATTATTATATGTATATATACATGAATGTTTAATTTAAAGATAATAACTTTTTAAGTCTAAAAATAGAGAATAGACGCAAATTTATCATTGGATTCCAAATTATTAATTCAAACTTGTAATGTTTTTGTGTTAAAGCAATACAAACGTGTTCCCCAAGTGTCTGAAGCATATTCGTGTTAGGATTTGTACCACATCCCACCAATGCGAATGAAAGCACGCCCACAAACACACACCAAAGAGAAAAACAATCACATGTATGTAGTTCGGCACAAATTTCTTACATCCACAGGCGAGATAGCTTCCACTATGAATAAAATACAGAATATATGTGAGATGGCCAAAACACCAAAACCTACACCACTACCCGAACCCCATGCTCAAGGGTAGTTAAGCCATTGCTCACCCCGGTGCCCTCATGGTAATTTTTCTCGGAGTGTTATTAAAGGCGATAGGAGCACCAAGGCGGCAAGGTCTTCTGGGGCCTAGGCTCAAGGCTCAAGGCTCAAGGCTCAAGGCAAGGTGCAGGCTTCACCGAAATGAGGCGTACCTTGTACAGGAAAAAAAATATAATTTAATATAAGTAAATAATTTAGGGTTCAATATAAACAAAATGAAATGTTAAACATTTAGTGTTTTTTGGAGATAAAAAATTAGGGTTAATTTTTCTTCTATCATTGATTTGAGGTTGAATACCCAATGTATTGGCATCTGTAAAGAGTAGGGATCTTCTGTAGTTGCACAATATTATTAAATCAATGGTTAGATTTTAAACAAAACCAATTAAAACAACAATAAAAAAAAGCCCTCAAGACGCAAGCCTTAGGCCAATCAAGCGCCTTATCACAATCAGCTGGCCTGGAACACTACAAGGCGCAAATCTTGGGCGCGGACGGGACTTGGGCCTAGGCGCGCCTTATCGAAGTTGCCTAGCCTAGAACATTACAAGGTGCAAACATTGGGCCTGGATGGGACTTGGGCCTAGACGCACGCCTAGGCAAGCCTTTAATAACACTACTGTCACCCTTGCATCTCTATTTTTCCTCCTCACCACTCTCTCAAGAAAACCCTATACTCCACATGACTACTTATAACAGTCATCCCATAAGAACCATAGTTCCATACAATTAGGTAACCAAATCTTACATATATTAGGTTTCCTAGTCGATTTCAAATTTTACAATCCTAACTCAAATACGTGTAAAAACCAACATAATAACTGTATGGGACCTACATTTACCACATGTGTGGACTAATCCTAACAATCACCCCCTTTAACCATGTGCGGTAAATGTTACATGCACCCTCCAACCTAGATGTCCTAGTTTGTGTGACACTCTACCTTCACCTAAAAGATATTGCACCCCTTAATCAAGTGCCCACGTTATTTTCACCTCATGCAATAGTGCTCAAACATGTCCTTCGCGACTTCCTTTGTCCTCATGCTCAAGCGCATGAGACCCGCATGCACCTCCATGAGGTGTCTCCTCTACCACGAACCAAAACTTCATAACCAAGAGACTCGACTTCCTTCATCATACACCTTGTCGCAAAACCGTCTCAAGTTCTATGCCCGAAGCTTCCTTCTGTGAACATCTAGTAACCCATTGTCTTTCTCTTGGTGGCCACCAAAAACTCCTGCACATTACCCATGCACTTGTACACTCACCTCGTCTCATGCTTGACAACAGTTCCCTTCTTGTCAAAACGTACTCCATGAGCCTATACAAGTTGCCAATCATGATGTCAAATAAGAAAAAAACACAGTCTAATTTACCCCCCGCAATGACAGGACTTCCTTGTTGATTGAATCAGATTACTCCTGGATCAACTAGATCACATGCAATCACATTTGATCGCCCTTGAATATGCCCAATCCCTTCAAACTGTTCCGAATCTAAAAATTTTGATTGTACCGATGAATCTGCAACGCCTGAAAACCCTAGAGAGTACCCTTGCCTTGAATTTTTTTTGTTAAACATACACTGATCTAATAGAAAAAATTCTACACCATTAATTTTGTGACATTCCAGTTGCATTGGATCACAACCCATTGCAACCTAAAGCAATAATCCATGTCTTCTCATTGTCTTTACTTTTGGGCAAAGAGAAAACATACATCAACCTACTAGTCATTATACCAACTTTAACTGTACATATGCGGTCTTCTTCAATCTGGTTTTTCACAATTTTTTTCTTTCGCCATCACAGTGATTTTTTCTCGAGCCGTGAACTCCACTGCTCAGATCGTGCCTCTGCCAACCGCAATCAATAACCTTTAGCTTTTATACCACTTGTTGGGATTTATACTACATCCCACCAACGCGAACTCAAGCACAATGATAACCACACACCAAAGAGAAACAATCACACATATTTATGTGATTTGGCTCAAATTGCCTATATCCACGAGAGAGAGCTTCTACTATAAATAAAATAGAGAATACATGTGAGATGGCCAAAACACTCAACCTACACCACTACCCAAACCCCATGCTCAAAGGTGGATGAGCCCTTGTTCACCGCGATGCCCTCACGATATTTTCTCACACCCCTTACATCTCCATTTTTTTTCCCTCACCACTCTCTTAATCTCTCAAGAAAACCTTAGAAGTCCACATAACTATTTATAATAGTATAACCATCAGAATTCTAGTTCCATACAATTAGGTAACCATATCTTACATATATTAGGTTTCCCAGTAGATTTCGAATTTTATTATCCTAACCCAAATACATGTATAAACCAATCCAATAATTGTATGGGACCCACATTTATCTCATGTGTACTAATCCTATTCGACTCTTTTTTTTTCTTTTTTTCCCCCCAAACAATAGGACATGTTTGGACATGTGTCTAATAGGTGTTGGAAAGTGTATGACAAGTGTTATATCCTGTCGTGTCAGTGATTGAGAAGTATCCATGCTTCTTAACTTATACATATCAAATATGAAACCTTCATAGGGACTTCTAATTTATTAATCAAAATTTACTTTTGGTTAACTTGTTCGTTCAGAGCATCAGAATTATCAAAATTTGCTGATATTGGAGGCTTTTTTCCCTTGTTTCACTCTACGAAACTTGGGTTTTGACTAGATGGAAGTATGAGGTTGCAATTATAGACTACATTATATATCTCCAAGTCTCCAATCATGAATCCACTAATTGGTTTGAGCTTGTCCTTTTTCTTTCTCCTTATTTTGTAGTCCTCTTTCCCACTCTCTTCTTCTGTCCTCTCTATCCTCTTTCTTTAATTTTTTTTTCTCTCTACCTCATCTCTCCATTATTTTTATCTTCTTTTTTTTCTTGGTCTCACTCTTTTTTCGATTGGTAATGCAATGCAATCCTGCAACAATATTCCATTCAGTTGCTGATATTAGATTCACAGATTGCAAAATCTGACCAAAAAATCAAATGCAGAAACTACCTCAATTAATACCATTGTCGCATTTGTTGAATATACAAGTGTGGTCGTGGCATGATGAATTGTGAAATAAAAAAATATAAAATATATATATATATATAAATAAATAAAAAAGGAAAAAGCATGGTTATGAAAAAAGAAAAAGTAAAAAGTAAAAAGAACAATGTAATATGGAGATGGTCAGAAATCATGGTGGATGTTTGGTCAGTTGATCGTTGGTGTTAATGTGATAAAGGAGAGGAGGATGTGGTAGTTACAGAAGAAATGACATTGGGTGATTTGGTATTTTTTGGGTTTGAAGGCTGAAATGGAGATGGTCAAACAATTAGGCTGGTATTGATGTCAATCTGGATCATCTTGGTTGAGAGATTAAGGAGGTGGCCATTTCTGATGGTTGCATCCTCTGTTTTTGTTGTTGGTAGAGAAAGAAACAAAACGTCAGATAACAGAGAAGAGGAGCAGAGGAGAGTGTGAGAGGGAGACGAAGAGGGAGAGAAAAGATGAAAAGGTGGTGAGATAAAAAAAATAAAAGAGAAATATCGTGGTGTTCTCTGTTAATTGCTTGTCAGACAATAAAACATGTGTCACTCTTCTACTCAACCACACATTTGTGTCATATAATGAAAGTGTGTGTGTGTGTGGGAGG